GCTTTCAAAAATAAAAATACCAATTGCCAAATTATTGCCCCTGGGAAGCTCGGCCCATTTTCACAGTGCCAAAACAAATTTTGTCTCAGTTCTACTACTCCTGTCTATTTGTCATCAAAAAAGCAATACACAGTCTCCTCTGTTCACATTAGTTGCACTATTTCTTTCCACAAATTCTTTGACATTTTGATTATATTTTGTTTTTGTTGGAACCGTTGTAAAGCTGTATTTTCCTACAGCCTCAGCCATCTGATCCCTAGCTGAATAGTTGAAGCGGAATGACATCATTGMAGTTATATACTTTTTCCCATAAACAAGTATAAACAAGTTCTGACCAATCACAGAATAGTTGTCAACAACAAACCAAATAATGTCAGTTTTGTCTTGCAACTTCATCAGCGAGAGCAAATTATTTCTCCCCTTCTCATAAAGTATAAATCCAGCTCAGCTCTCACTGAGAAATACAGAGGAACTAGATTCATTATGTCAACCAACACAAGAACCTGTACCAAGATGTAAACATATCAAAAGACTACCTCTACCGAACAATATTAGTTTGACCCCTGAATGATCTTGCCTCAGAACCAGACAAGATGTGAAAGAGCTGAGACAAGAGGTAACAGGGGTCATTTCTTGTCCTGATACGAGTTCATTAAAGCAACCAAACAAGGACTTTTAGGGGGAAAAGAGGCTGTGACTCAAATAGAAGATAACATGAGGATTTTCCCCAAGTAGATGAGTTTTCTACTCTCATTTGAAGAACAACACGGTCCTGCTGAACTTCCAGTGGTTGGGTCATTCAGCTTGTCAAAGAACAGAAGTGATGCATCTAATCAAAGAAGTCATCTAAAGTGTGAGGAGAGAACAATTTCATACTGAAAGGAGGCACTTATATGTGGCTGGAACAAAGAAGGACTCAGACAGTCTTTTCAAAGGCAGATTGTCAATAAATTTTTAGCATTTTGTGTTGATTTATTTTCTTTCTTTGGTTAATTAGAAGAGAAAGTCACAGCTGATTCACCAAGCTTATGCTTTCTGTAAAGTACTGAAGTCATTACTAATTTGATCTAATTTGTACACAGTTTTGTTTAAATTTTTTTAAATGTTACAGTTGTGCAGACAGTTATTTAATTTTCTGTACACGTCTTACTGAAGAGCCACCCTTTTTGATTTTATCTGGCAATGGCGCCTCCAAGTGGTCCTTTTACAGAAGTAAAGAAAGATTTCYCACAATATCTGTTCATTTCACAAATGCTGATTCTCCCTTTGATTATGTTGTATTTCAAGAAAAAAAAAACAATCCTGAAAAAAAAAAAACGTTTATAAGATAACATCTTATAATGCTGCAGCATGAGTAAAAAGAATTACAATATAACAAAAGTGAGTGCATTTGTGTGTGTACTTGGTATTTGATACCTTTTTAGGACCGTTTCTGGTATGCACACCTACCCTTTTAAGAACAGTAGTTCTTATGGGGACCAAAACCCAGTCCAAATATGGTGGAATTTCATTTTTGGGTTGGGGGTTAGGTTTAGGACTAAGGTGTGTATTGGGTTTAGGTTAAGTTTTGGGTCAGGTTAGGGTCAGGGTTAGGTTATAAAAATGACTGGAAATGAATGAAGGTAAAAAAAATACAAGGATAGAAATACATG